CCATCGCGCTTTAGTTTTCTCTTACCCTCTATTTTTCTTTCACTTTGTGTCTGTCTGACTATAAAACTTTTGGAACAAAGCTTATGTTGTCTTATTACAAACTGAATATTCAGAAAGATATGTATACTTTTTCTATTTTTGACAATTTTGATTACATTTTTTGTAACGTAGGCATGCTTAGAAACTGCTTTTTTCACTTTGAAGGACTATTGCAAAAAACAAAACAAAACAAACAAACAAAAAAACAAGGCCTACTGACATCGCGAAAGGCTTTTTTACGACTGTGACTATTTACCATTTACCATTACCAGCAGTTTTTTCCAGAGCAAGAATTGACAAACATTTACTTGCCAAAGTGCAATAAATAAGCAGCATTATTAGATCCCACATTAAAACATTGATAAAGAAAACAGTGTCAACATTTGGTAACTTTACCTTCATACCAATCAACTTCCTAGTCATTTAATCTTTAACAAATACAAATGTGTTTGAGACGAATAACTCTGCCTTTTTGTCTGTTTTTTTAAAACAGGCACATAACCAGATGAGTTATTGCTGCCCTTGAATGAAGAGTACCACCTTTTCAGAATATTAAATAAGTACTTTAAGCCTGACTTATTTCGCTCGACCCAGAGCAGCTGAGTTGTGAGACCAAACCTCTTGGTTGACCAGACTTGCGCAGTACCAATGGGGACAGAGAGGTAATGCTGCTAATCTACCACTTAGTTGGCTAGGACAGCCTGTTACACAGGAGGACATAGAGAGACAGGATGTGAGTAAGATCAGCTTTAGATGAGCATTGAAGTGTAATTGGCTAAAAACAAGATGAAAGATGAGCTGTGATCCCAGCTGTTTTGAATATGACAGATTAGAATGGGAGCTGGGCTGCAGGAACAGGTGGACTGAGGGTTGGACCAGGAAAGAATGATTGATGAATGGCGATGACCTCAAAAAGAGTGTTTGCATGAGGTTTGGAAAGATTTGGTGGATAGGAGGGTAATGCTGCTGCTGCTGTTACTGCTGCTGCTGCGGCGACAAAACCCAGCAAGTGATTGATGTGATTTGGTGATTCCAGTGACTCATTCCACAAAATGACACCAGTTAAGGACACCTTACTTCACACTGTTTGGCATTGCATTACATCATGTAAGATACCTTACTACACAATACTACTTTATATGTATATACTTTATATAATACCACAACATCAGTAAGAATAACATAATAACACTATGTTAAACATACAACCTGTATTTGATCACATATAATTATATATCACCACTTTATATAAGATGGCATCACATTACACTACAGCACATCCCTTCACAGCCCAGGTGCTACATTAATGACACAGGTATGACAGCGATGATAGATGATAATTTAACAATGTAAGGATATGCGTTAGCACATAATAAGCTGTTATTAAGTGCCAGCTCTTCACATTAATAATTTATTAAAAGATGCTTTGGTAACTCTCGGTTTTGGTTAGCAGTTAAATAATTGACTAGGATGTGAGACCAGAGGTTATTTTAGCCCAAATTCCCCTTTTTAGAGTTTGTTTTTTTACTTAAGGCTTCACAGGCCACCACACGTCTATTGTTGCTTAGTGAACTAAAAATTCTTATTCCAAAGATACTGCTGCTCTGTTGAATTCATGTCCCCATCCCCCTGGCATTTCCTTTTTTCTCAATTTGATCCTGATTTACAAAAAGACACCACAGCAGAGGAGATCTATCATCATTATAGATCATTATAGCTTTATCCATGTCAAAGATCATATACTTAATTTGTACTGTCTCAAATCAATACCAGAAGGGTTAAAAACATTTACATTTATCTACATTAGTGCCGTTAATAATTTCAGATAGGCTTTGAAAACAAACCAAAAATATTGCGAAATGTATTTTTTCTTAAAGTTGAATTTCTCATTACTTTTCTGTAAGTGTGTTGTTACATTGTTTTAGAGAAAGGTTTCCTGCAACCAATAAAAAAGGCTCTTAGGCATAGATCTTCAACAGGGGTTCTTGGCACCTTGGGGGTCCAGGAAAGTACTTCATGGGACAATCAGGGGGCAAATAAATGGAGCATAGCTTGTATGCATGATAATTAAGCACAAGAAAAGTTGCTTTGCAATGAATTAAACACAAAAGGTTTTTCAATTCACCTTCATTTTGGTCATCAACTGAATCGGTCAATAGAAATACATGTAAAATTAAAAAGCAGAATTTGACCTGGCTACACATTGTTTTGTATTGTCCAACAAGTCGAATAACGCAGACTTGGTTTCCAATAACAGCCAGAAGCCAGAAATTAATTAACACATTGTTTCTAAACTCTAACATTTGTCTGCAATTACTTGATTGAAAATAACACTTTAAACTTTCGGTATTACATCAAATGTAATCCCAAAAGTACATTACCATGTAGGTAGCCTACAGCGAAGTGTAAAATGACAAGTGTAAACAATCCACCAATCCAATACACTGTACACTACAATTCGAATATGAAATGCAAAATAACAACACTCGTTTCTAAATGACATTATTGGACCCAGGTTCTTATAAAATATAATTTTGTATGACGTATAACGTTGGGGGTTCTTGCTCCATCAATCTCTCAGTTTGAAGACCCCTACTCTAATGGAGCGCGCTGCTGTGATCAGCCAATGACGTGAGCGGCGGGGAAACACTACAGGGACACAGAGACATGGCAGCATGAATAGAGGCAGGCAGTGAACAAGGGGGGAGGAACGGAGGGAGGGAGCTCCTAGGCCCGGGTAGGCTACGGGAAAATGAGGTAGAGGCGGAGTCTCTCTCTCTCTCTCTCTTCCAGAGAGTTTGCATCTGTGTGTGTTTCCTCGCTCACTCCTCCTCCTTTATAACCACCCCACCCCCACCGCTGCCGCCCCCCCCTCTCTTTCGCTCCTCTGCCCGCCCCTGAGTCTGGAGCAGCAGCAGCAGTAGCGACAGCAGCAGTGGAGCTTCACTGCCCTCTCCTCGCCTTCACAGTGCGGGAATACAGCAGCGGAGAACAGAATGGACACGGAAGGGAGCCAGAGCAGCCTGTCCTCCGGCACGGACAACTCCCCCCACGACCCCTGGTAACGGCCTCAGCTTTGCCGCTGTCTCGCTGCCTCTGAGCTCGGCCCCCGGTCTGAGTTCACCTTGGACTTTAGTGGAGTTCGGTGCGGGGAAGCGAGCGGAGACAAAAGACAAGCACGTTGCCTGTGTGTTAGTGTATGTGTGTGCTTGTGTGTATGAGAGAGAGAGAGAGAGAGAGAGAGAGAGAGTGTGTCTGTGTATAGTCTCTATTTGCGTGTGTTTGTCTGTGTGTGTGTGTGGGATGGAGGAGACAGAGACGCACCGCTGCTTTCCGCCTCTTCCCCTCGTTTGTTTATTTATCTCTCTTTTCCTCCAGGATGCCACATTGTAACTTCTCATCCATCCTCTCTGGAAGATCCTCTCTCTCTCTCTCCCTCTTCGTCCTCACTCCCCCTGTTTCCATGTGTCTCTCTATCTCTCCCTCTCTCTCTATCCCTCCTCTAGGGGATTATAACGGCCCGACTGGCCGATTGGTGACTTCGCCAACATGGCCGATGCTTTCTTCTTACTTTATTGACGCTATATTGACACATATGCACTCTCTATGTGTCTATATACTGCCTCATCTCCTTCCGTCCCTCCTCCTTCCTCCCTGTGTCCTCCCGTCCTCTATGGAGGTGTGTGTGTGTGTGTTCAAGTGCGTGTGTGTTATTATTATCTGGGTGACTTACAACAGCTTCTCTTTCTCCCATTCAGCAAAATGTTCATCGGGGGTCTGAGTTGGCAGACAACACAAGGTGAGCTGCTGCTGCTGCTACTGTCCCGCACCACACTTCCACCAGTCGAAATGAAATCCTCCCCGTTTATCGTTGTTTTAGTTTGCCTGTCTGTGTGGCTCTGTATCCCACACATTTGCTGCACTGTTTGCGTTTCAAAGTTAAGGATAATAAGCCATCGAACGCACTTAAATCAAAGCCTTGCATTCACCGAGGACCAGCCTCCACGCATGGAGATTACGGCTGTGAATGCATGCGAACGCGACGACTTTGTCATGGGTCACGATTAATCAAACAAAAGTGTCGTAATGTGGACAAAAGTTGGGTTCATACAGCCGACTGTTCCTGCTTCATTGTCGATCACTGCTCTACATCCGTTCGTTTCTCCTCAGAGTCGTGCGCACAAACCCGACACGCGTGGATACACTTTATTTTCGTTGTTTTTTTACCCGGTTGCTGGCGTTGTGGCTAAACAGCCATCGCGACACCAAAGTGTCCGTGTTTGTCCCGCGGGGCCTATGTGGGCCGTTTGGGCCACATCAGAGAGTCAGATCTGCGTGAAGCTGGAGAACGGACGCAAACGCAACGTGGTCCGGCCCGACCCCATTGTCTCTGTCTCCAGCCACAGCACATCACCTCTGCCGGGGCCTGCTGTGGGACACACATACATAGATTTTCGACCTCTTTCTTTAACCCTCTAACGCTTGGTGTTTATTTTGCAGAGGGCTTGAAGGAGTACTTCTGTAAATTTGGCGAGGTGAAGGAGTGCATGGTGATGCGAGATCCCGTTACCAAGCGGTCGAGGTAAGAAGGAGGCGTGTGCGCTCTGCTGTCCTATCACTGGATGCCTCCTCATACTCTGCCATGCTGTGCTCTTTTCCACGACACTTTGTGTGTGTGTGTGTGTGTTTGAACTCCAATTTCAATGCTTGAATTGTATGTTTCTGTGTGTGTGTGTATGTGTGTTTGCAGGGGTTTCGGGTTTGTAACATACGCAGAACAAGCCGGTGTGGAGAAGGTTTTGGCGCAAAACAGACACGAGTTAGATTCCAAAACGGTGAGTTGAGCTGGTTGTTCCACTAAACCTGTCACGGATAACTTTTTTTTTGTTTTTTACTACTGTTCGCCTCCTTACTGCTGTGGCTGGTAAAGTTGAGGAGGGCAGTTGTGGAGCAGTTCTCTCCTCCTCCTCCCCCTCTCTCTCTTTGCTCATTTCCCCCTGCAAATCCCGGTTCAGGGCGCCAACATGAAAGCGTTCTTTCTTGGTCTTCATTGCCATGGTTACCTGGGGGACCTGAATAGGGTAAAAGCCCCTGCAAAACCCTTACAGGGGTTTTTTTTTTACAGAGAACTCACAACTTTCTCTCCCTTCTTCTTCTTCTTTTTTCCCCCTCACGTTGAATAAAGAAATTAGCAGCAGTAGTTTGAGGTATGCCAACTGTCAGTGTAAACAGTTTGAGAAAAGGAAACAGTTGAGGCTGTGGCTGCCACTCTGATGTCAGAGAAAGTCTGTGATGTTCACATGGGTTTATTTTAGGTCAGGTTGATATGCCCAGAGTTGCTATCTCTATGTAATTTTATATCCTAATTATAAGATTTGTCACTATAGAGTGTATTTTCTGTGTTATTACCATGTTTTGTTGTGGAAAGTTAGCAAAAAAAAAAAAAGATGTGTGAATCGTCCTTAGCAACCAAATATAGGCTAAACAAACACCGTTTTAAGTAGTCATTTTAGTTATTATATATATATAATATATTACTACTGTTTTAAGTAGTCATTTTATTATATATATATAATATATTACTACTTCTCTACTCATTATATTACTTTTTCTACTCATCTAGGTCAAAGCATTTTCCACAAGTAATACACAAATTAGGATGCCAGGCTAGCAGTATAGCTAAATATTGTGCAAATGCTGTGTTGCTCTTCAGTGCTTTGGTTAAAAATACCTTCCATTGTAAAATGTAAAACTATAAATTCAGTTTAGTGAAATTTCAAATTACCCAAAACTGGTAGGCCTAGCAGAACTTTACTTTGTTATAACATGACATTTAAAAAAAGGAGACAATAGTCTCCCTGTGACTCGGCTAAGCTATGGTAATCCTGCTAACCCCTGTCCTGCTTTTTAGACTTTGGGTTTTAGCAGCAGCTGTGTTTCTTTTTGAGTTGCATTAATTAATAAAACTCTGTCTATGTTTCAGTAGTCACTGTTTCCACTCAGAAATAGTCTGTCAACTTGTTAATGAAAGGAAAAAGATTTTACAAGTGCTGATAAAAACATTGCCGCTTATTTGATGTGACTAATGGAAATAAAGAGGGTAATTTGGTTTTTGTTCAAGATTTACTACACCTCGATGAAAAAAGTTAAGTTGTTTGTATTTAATATTCATCTCAAAATTTTTATCTTTTTGCTGTAATTTAATGGACACATTTTGAAATGAACAGAGGACAGTTGTGCACGTTGCTATATTTATGTTAGGGAAAATACACTGACATTGGTGTCAGCGGGACAGACACTAAGTGACAGACATGTGGAAGCTTGCATTCATCCATTTTCAAGCTACAGGTCTTTCATAAAATATAGTTCATAAAATATTTTTTTTGCTTATTGTTTAGCTTTCCTCCTCCATTTTCTCCTCCTCCCTCATTGGTTGGTTGAATTGCACTTTATATGATCGTCTTGATCTGAGTTTAAAAACAATAATTATAAAAAAAAATTACAGGGTCACACATCGTACTTTTGTAGTTCAGCTGCATATCCTACAAAGAGTTAAGCACACGTGTTAATCCCTGTTGTTTGTAGTGTGGCCGTGGAGTCAAAGCTAATGTCTTTGATTTAAATTTCTATGGATGTGTGGATGCTGTTGTCTTGGTCATGTAGATGTGCTGTAGGAATTGTGAGGGGATTGGTGGGTGTGTTCTTATCAGCCTGTCAACTTTCCTACACACCACTCAAACACAGCTACACACATGCAAATACACACTAGGATTACTGGAGAGTGAAAAATGGGTTGCACAGAAAGGCAGCAGAAGCCCAAGGGTGCACAGAGGTAGAGGTGGTTAGTTGTTGGAGCCAGCCTGTTGCCCGGGGTGATGCCAGTCACAGGAGACAGCGCTGTGACTGCACAGCCTGATGGGATTTAGGTCTCCATAACAACTTCTCTGCTAGTTTGCATTAACTTAAGGCACTGGGCACAAGCTGTGACACACACAATAATATTGCAATGTCACGACATTCACACTTGTTTGTGTCTGCTTTATTCAGCTATTATCTGTGTTTCGATTTGTTTGGGGCGGTAATTAATATGAATAAATAAAATATTTTCTTTTCAACTAAGAGGCTGAATTAAAAAAATAAATAATTTTTTTCCTTAGAAATCCATTTGATTGCCAGTATTTGACTGCGTTAGATCCTAGATTTTCTTAAAGAAATTCCCCGCAACCCTATAGTGCCAGACCTGTTCTGCTTGACTTTTACTATTAAAGAGTTAATGAGCACCGACTATTAGACCTTGCAGTTTTAGTGGTCCATTTATTTCAGATTTGTTGTACATTTTTATTGTCTTACATAGGAAATGTAAGCTATCCTTTGTGATTTTGTGATATGTTATGGCTTATGACATCAACACCTGAAATGAAATAACTAAAAGAATAATTAAATGGTTCTTGAAAATAAGCATAGGAAAATCGAGGCTGCCCACTTGACTTTTTCTTTATTTTTCTTAGTCAGTAGATTTATTTGTGGAACAGGTATTTTCCCCTAAACACACAGAAAACAGGGAGAAACAAATAGGTATTAAAGTAAATGTGGCAGGGCATCTATGAATGACTAATAATGTCTATAATGGTATTGAGAGATAAATAGGGGCCATTACCAGTATTTTATTAGAGGTCTGATTTTGATTTCAGGTTACTTTGAAACCTTTTGGGTTCCTAGGGACTTCACTTTGCAACTCCAGTCTATAATGGAATCGGCAGAATACATTACTTTATATAGTTTACTGGTGTGCTCAAACTTAATTGCTGCTGTGCTATGCTCCTTGTACTGTTTGTGGGTTCAAGTCTGGGGAGCAGATAGTTAGCGATCCAGTGTCACTAAGACCATCTAGTAATAACACAGACAAATTCATGCCACCTCTCTGTTTCTTTTACGTGCTGTGTGTTTTTTCTTCAAGTGAAAGGCACGTGGGAAGATGAGTGTGGGAATGGTGATAAACCTTTTCACCCAAAGGTGACTCATCAATTGGGTGTTTTTCATTTATGAAATGTAGTATATTGTAGTTGGCATAAACTGTTTTTGAATCCTATATTTTCAATTGATTTTAAGTTAAACTATTACAATGCTTTATTTGTCTGTAAGGTTGGTGAACACTCACTGTAAACAAGAGGGATTTGACAGGTATTTAATAGTATTTTACAGTGTTGACCTTAAATATTTTATATGTATTTGCAGTTAAAGAATTCTGCTAAACAGCGGCAGTTTTTTTTTTATTATGATGCGAGTGTTGCTGCCAGGAATTGCTCGGTGTTTTCTATTATCTTGCAAATAATTCTATGACTGTGAAGTGTTGTAAAGTGTACAATGTTGCTTAGTGAGTCATATTAGGGTCTTAAAAAAAGGCACACCTGGAGTCCTGGAGCGTCACACCATGGTGGTGTGTGTATGTTGTGAGATGTGAGCGCTAGTTTGGAGACAGAGGCTCAGCTCGGCAGGCCACTGGTGGAGATAGGCGTTGCCCTATTATAAACCAAAATACAGCTTTAGGCTAAACAATATTTAATGCTAACAACTAAAAACACAGCTTTGGTTGCTCAGTTTGTAGTGGTTTGACAGAGTTTAGACCAGTGAGCCATACTGTGCCATTTCTCTAACCAGGCATTTTGAAGCAAAAGGTATGATTGCCATTTTATCATTTTGCTGAGATTTTTATTTTAATATTTTAAAATATGACAATGTGATTTGTGCAAATGACATATTGTGTTATAACTTTCAGCTGTCTCTGTAATTGCTCGAATCCAATTTTAGTGTTTTTTAACTTTTAGCTGTCTCTGTAATTGCTCGAATCCAATTTACCCGCACATTTCACTGAATAACCAGTGGAAAATGGAAGGACATGGTGCTGCGGCAGTTCGACTCATTTTCAGCTGTAGTCTCTATTAGGAAACACAATTTCAATTTCAGGTAGAAAAGTCTTTAAAAGGTTTATTTTTTTCAATTGAAATAATTATGTCACAGCTGCAATTGATAAAATACCAAATTGTGTGACAGTGCCCTTAAATACTTTTTTTTATTATAAAACTTGCTTAGCTTTGTATGACTAGTATCAATATCTGTGTATCATTTTCATTTGCTTAAGGGATTTTTTTCTTAACCACTATTATTTTCACATTTTTAGAGCCTTTTGTTTCAGCATCACACACCCATTTTACCGGATGAGCAGGACATACCATAATAGACTTTGGGCTCTGTATTCTTTTGGTCTTTACATGCTGAGCCGTTACCTAATGAAAAAATAATTCACAACTTAACTATAACTAGGAAAAAAAAGAGGAGCGCTTTAATAATAACAGGGAAGCTGGGCTGTGACTGTATTAACTTGTGAAAAGACCATTTGACTGTTTCCACCTGAGATTGTTCTATCCACACTCAGCAAACCTGCTGTAATTGTTGAAAAAAATTAGCATCATAATTACTGTGTCATACCTGTAAAAAACAAACAAACAAATAAACACAACAAACGTAAGGCTGTCTTTTGTTTCGAGAGGGAGAGAGCTGTTATTGGGGTTTGTTGTTTTGGTTGGAGGTCAGATTTCCTGTTAGGACAAAGTCTAGCCTTAGGGCAGTGGTGTGCTGTTATATTTCTTTGGAAAGAGAAAAAGGGCACAAATGGTATTTGTTTGCTCGGAGGAATACTTTACTGGAACGAGCTATGGGAAGGAAAACAAAGATGAGAAAAATATCTCAAACAAGACATTTTCATTTATTCAGTTGCATTAACTGAAGGTATTTTTAGTGCTGGAATATTGTAAATACCTGGTAGTTCTAAAGGATG